AAAAAAAAGTCAAATAAAAAGGCAAAGGATGGCTCCTAAGGCCTGACTGCACATCAGAGCTCTTGCAGTAGTTGCTCCTCAATCAGACCCACTTGCCAGGCAGTCTGCCCCCGCCCGAGCGCAGCCCTCTGGATCAAAGCAAAAGATCCCCTCCAGCATGGCCCTCGCCTGCCCTTGGACCCGTCAATTCTCACTGAGCCCTCTGATTGGGGAACGCAGGACCGGGCGTCCCTCTCCTCCAAGCAGAGCCCATTCTTCAATGTCAGCTCATTGATTTCCAGCTGTCGGGAGAGCAGGAGAGAGAAACACCGGAGTCGGAGGGGCAATCAATCACGAGATGCCACAGGATGGGGAGACAGGCACATGGGGCTTTGGACTGGCTTTGCTTCAGGACGATCCGGGCGATCTGTCCCCTGCCGCCGCTGCGGTCTGTCACCAAGGCCAGCGAGGCCCCCAGGCCTTCTGCCAAAGGTCAGGACAGCGTGTGGAAGCTGCCAAGCGCCGCCAGTGCTAAATAGTCTATGGAGGAGCGGGTTTCCAAGAGGTTCTTCCCAAAGAATTTAAGGCGGGGGTGGGGAACCTTTTTTGGGTCAGGGGCCTGCAGAAAAAAATCAGACACAAGCGAGAAGCCAAAAAAAAAGACAAACCCATCTCATGAAGTGGCCACCGACTGAGATGCAGAAAGAACCCCCCCGCATTCCCAGGCTAGTCAATGTTGTATGCTTCAGCCACGCAGCGGGGCAGCAGGGGGACTGGAGCGCCAGCACGGGCGCCCCAATTCTAGGGGGGAACCAGAGCCTTGGGGGCCAGATCCAGGCAAGCCGAGGGCCACATCTGGCCCCTGGGTCCCTGCCTCTGTGCTCACCCCTGGGGGTGGGGAGCGCTCAGAATGCAGTGATTTTAAGTATCAGGGGACAAACAGGACTCAGACTGGACCCCAAAGACGACCTGCATCTGTCTGAAACACTGTATGCACACATGCTACGGACTTAACATTGAAATATGAATGCTGGGCAGCCCCCGGGGTCTGCGAGTGCTGAGTATCATCATGGGCTCAGCTCCCGAGGGCGTCCTCTCTGCAGGAGCCGCGGGGCCCCTCGGGGAAGGAATTTCCTGATGCCATTCACCAGCAACTCGGGCAGGGCAGGCTCTGATGGAGGTTTCCTTCCATTCCTCTCAGGCAGAAGGATGCCGACTGCTGAGAGGGACGCGAGGTAGAAAGAGATGTCGATGTGGGACGTAGAGAACTCCCCGGAGAGCGAAAGGAGTCAGGCAAATCTGTGTCCGACAACGATTTCTTGCACTGGCTCATGTTTATAGATCTCCTCAGACCCGAGGCACACCGAAAAGACTCCAACCATCGCTGCTCGTTAGCAATTTGTGGGACCTGGTCTCACCAGGGCTGCAAGACTGACTGTTGATTTACCCGTCTCTGAGAGGTAAGCCCAGGAAACACACTCTTCCACTCTCACCTAAAGCCAGCACCTGAAAGGCCAACGAGCCCTCTGGCAACAAAGCAACTGGTGCTAAAGACGGAGGCCAGATTCCAAACTCAGTTAAACTCGTATGAACACTGAGGAACTCCACTGCACAAAGCAGAATTAAGCCTCGAGGCACCGGCACATTGAAAGATGCAAGTCTAATCTGCTGATCTGCATAGCTCTGGAGGGAGATGGAGCCCGCATGGCTAAAAGTCTCCCCAGCACGGGTGTAGTAAGAGGAGAAGAGCTCAGCACGGTTGGTTATTGTACTTTATTCCCTTCTAGGGATGTTACCTCAAAAAAGATATTTTGGCCTTGGAAAGGGTTCAGAAAAGGGCAACTAAAACGAGGAGGGGTTTGAAACGGGTCCCATATGAAGAGAGCTTAAAGCGACTGGGGCTTTTCAGTTTAGAAAAGAGGAGACTGAGGGGGGATATGATAGAGGTCTATAAACTCATGAGTGGTGTGGAGAGGGTGAATAAAGAAAAGTTATTTATTAGTTCCCATAACAGAAGAACTAGAGGACACCAAATGAAGTTAATGGGTAGCAGGTTTAAAACTAATAAGCGAAAGTTCTTCTTCACACAGCGTGTAGTCAACCTGTGGAACTCCTTGCCAGAGGAGGCTGTGAAGGCTAGGACTAACAGAGTTTAGAGAAGCTAGATAATTTCATGGAGGTTAGGTCTATAAAAGGCTATTAGCCAGGGGATAGAAATGGTGTCCTTGGCCTCTGTCTGACAGAGGCTGGAGAAGGATGGCAGGAGACAAATCGCTTGATCATTGTCTTCGGTCCACCCTCTCTGGGGCACCTGGTGCTGGCCACTGTTGGCAGACAGGATACTGGGCTGGATGGACCTTTGGTCTGATGTAATGTGTTTATTTCTGCAAACGTGTAATTGCTGTGTCAGAGGAAGCAGCACAGGGAGCAGGCGGCTCTGCAGGAGCTGGTTTAAAAGCTGGCTCCCCACACGTACTGGCTCCCGCCTACCCCCCGTGCCCTGCTGCTTCGGTATCAGAAGCAGCAGTGCGCAGGGCAAAAGAGGTGACTCCACGGGAGCTGGTACTTTGGGGGGCGGGGGGGCAGCTTTTAAGCACCAGCTCCCGCTGCAGCAGCGGGGGGAGAAGAGGCTCTGTTGGGAGCCAGCTTAGAAACTGGCTTCTCACATGCACCTGCTCCTGCCTCTCCGCTCACTCCACAATACAGAGGTGGGAGGGCTGCTGTAACCGTTAGGATTAAGCGAAGAGCCCGGGCGCATCAGTTAATCGTGTAAACGGGGATGCGCTCACATCCCTTCGCCATTTCATTTGCTTGTTGAACCCCCACCTCAAGCAGAGTTTGAACTGAGGTACCGCGCTGACAGCCTGAGCGATCCTGAACGCCTCCCTTCATGGGCTTCTCTTTGGCATCACCTGGAGGGGAATTTTTAGGCCTAGCCAGGCCTAAACTGTGGTTGGTCCTGCCAAGACATGTGACCATGCCACCAGGGGCTGGACTCCATCTTGAATTTTGTACTTTTCTAGAGCTTGTTTTGGGGAGAATTGAACAAAAATGTCTTGAGGCAGGAAACCTATGTAAGGGACGGGAAGCAACTAATGCTCATCTCCAACTGGCGTTCCAAACTGCTCCCCTCCACAAGAAGGCACACGAAGAGTCCTGGAAACAAACACCACCAACTAGAGGAGAAGCTGTTAGACCCATGCCAGAGAAAAGATCAGCTCTGACTCGAAATAATGGCTAGGCTGAGAAATTAGCAACAATTGCTCTTAGTTTATTAAACTTAGCTGGCCTGCTGTGTTTATTTTCGAGTAGTAACTTGCTTTGGTCTGTCTGTGTTCACTTACACTAACTTAAATCCTACTTTTATACTTAATAAAAACCATGTTTATTATCAAACCCAGTGGAAATTGTTATCTTTGGCGAGGAGCAATTGCTAACGCAACTCTCTTCCATTGATAAAGAGAACAAACGGCTGAGCCTTCTCAGTGTAAAACTTCTATACAGAGTGAAATGGATTTATTTGTGGGTTTGGTCCTATTTGGGGCTGTGCGTGTGGGTGCTGACAAGTCCCTGTAGCTGAGCCTTTCCGGAGCTGAGCTGTTATCAGCATTCATGTTACTCTGCTCGGGGTTGGGGGGGGGGAGGCATTACCCCAACTCTATGCCTTTGCTGGAGAAGGCCAAACCTTCTGGCTCGGCAGGACAGGGTGGTGGGGTGCCCCAAAGGGCAGATAGGTGAGCCCAGCGATGGGATCAGAACACCAGGTGACAGCCTCGAGGGGACCTCTACAGTCCAACCCGTCACAATCGGGTGAGGACACTCTGCTTACCACCACTTTCCCTAGAGCAGGGGTGGGCAATAATTTTTGCCTGGGGGCTACCCCACTTCCAGACCATGATTGGGTTGGGGGTGGGGGAGCCCCTTCCCACTAGGCACTCATGCCCTGGAAGAGGCTTGGCACAGTTCCCCACCCCCAGGCCAATCAGGGCCTGTGGGTGGGGGAGCGCGGGAAGCCTCTTCTTGCCCTGCCAGGAGCATATGGCACTTTGAAGTGCTGCAGGCTCCTTGCAAGGTGAAGGAAGCTTTACACAGCTCTCCGCCCCAGGCCCGGATTGCTCGCAGGGCGGGGGCAGAGCGGAGAAGGTTTTGCGCGCTTCCCTACCCCCCAGGCCCTAAGTGACCTGGGGGCGGGGGAGCCGCAGGGCCTCGGCGGGCCGGATCCACCCACTTGCAGGCCGGATCCGACCCACGGAGACCCTTTTGCCCACCCCTGCCCTAGAGGCTCCTGAAAAGTTTCAATTTTGCTAACTCTCTCCCGCTGTGGCCGGCAGCAGGGACCTGCCAGCCAGTCAAATCTTGATGAATTTACTCGTGTTTTTAAAGAGCTCAGAGGCGGAAGAACAGAGCGTGCATACAAATATCAGGTGTTATTGCGTTAGTCTCTCCTGCGGCACCTGAAATTCTCCACGCCAGCATCACACCACATGACGGAGCAGAAGACGCTGAGTGTGTACGACAGAAAGGGGCAACGCGAGCGACTCAGTACGGCAACAAAAACCATCTCCGAGTTCGAGGCAGCGCACTGCCAAGCCGCGACGTGCGCACGTTATTTTCCATCCTTCCTGATCCTCAGCACTAAGAAATCAACTCTTGCTATTCTGCATGTAGCGGCCTGGTTTGACAGCTCCGCACTCCTACCCTCACCCGGCAGCACAGTGCTTACTATGACGGATTATTAGCCGCTGAATAACCCCACAAGCTCATCACCTATTAAACCATCTTGTTAGTCTTTAAAGTGCTACACAGTCCTGGTTTTTGTTTCACCCACAAGTTAAAACCATCCAGAGAAACCGCTTTGCCCCGGATCGAATATTGAGCGCAAAGTCTTTTCAACAAGACAGTTTGTGACCTGTAGGTGACCAAAAGCTAAACCGGCCGGAACTGACGAATTAGCATGCAGGGGGGTTTGCTGAGGAACTCCAAAGCCGACACACAACCCCCTCCCCCCGCGCCCCACTCACCGTCTGTGCGTTGAATTCAGGTAGCATGACGCATGTGGCTCCCACCCAGAGCGGGCACAGCAGCTTGTTGATCACTCCGTGGAGATGGTGTAAAGGCAACACATGGAAAATAACGTCTTCCTTCGTCCACTCCCATCTCTCAACCAGCCCCGTTACCTGTGGGGAAAGACACCCAAGCCAGCGTGAGAACAGGGGGACAAGGCAGTCGAGACACAGGGCAGAGCTCGAAGGCTGGAGGAAGCCTGGCTAACTCGAGAGCCCCAGTTCAAACCCTAGCGCCACTGTTCATGCTGGCAGCAGCACAACGTGACGTAGTGGGGACTGTACTCACTTTTGTGATGTTGTATGGGATGCCTATTGTCCTGTGCTGTTCTGTTGTAACCCATGCGGGCGTGCCTCAGTTTCCCTGGGCACTGCACCGGTGCCTGGCTGGGGACGGGAACGTTGGGTGTGCCTCTGAGGGGAGGCTGCACCATCTTAGCCCCTACACAACAATAGCTCACTCAGGCTGTCCTGTAACCTGAGCCTGGGGGGCAGGGAAGCAACCAAGTGACACTTTACCCGGGAATCTCAACAAAGGAGGGGGTGAGCTGCCTCCAGGCTGGGAGACAAGTGACAGGGTGTGGGAGTTCTCTCTGGTGGCAGGGGATGCAGGGAGGGGGCCCAGGGCCAGCGGCCCCCCTCTCCCCAAGCTGGACTGTACCGTCGGCTTCTGGTTCCTGTGTTAACAACAAGTCTGTGCTACGCTGTGTCCCTGTCAACAAATAAACTTCTCGGCTGAGAGTCACGTCTGCCTGCGGATGGGGGTGTAGGGCGGGGTGACTCCCCCACACTCCGCGACACATGTCCCTGTCTAGGCTAGTCTCTGGTGATGTCAATTCAGGGGATTAATGGGGAAAAACAGGTGTCAAAATGAACGCATCGCCCGTAAAACAAACAAACAGGTGAGAACGCTTAAGGTGGGAGACCTATGTCTCCATTGATCAACTCTAGGGACCTGGAGTCTCCCCTTTGAGGCCAACAAGAGAAAAGCAACAATCATAAAGCCAGAATTGAAAGGGAACAGTCTGTGGGTCTACAGAACGTGTGTACACACACACACACACACACACACACACACACACACACGCATAGCGCCATTTGTGTGGCCAAAAAATTATAAATTAAAAGCTGCTCTTTAGGTAGGGCCTACACTATTATTAACCTACTGCTGCACAACCAGAATCAGCAGAAACAAAGAAACTTTGCTGATACCATTGATAATGCTGCTGAACAAAAACTAGGCTGGCCTGTGTTAGCTTATAAACATTGATTAGAAATAGAAATTAGGGGCAGGAAACCAATGGTCCAGAAATAGAAGGGGAAATAAACCCAACAGTGGGCAAATATTAATTTTAATTTTCCACAAAGCTTTATTACGAAGAAAAACCATTCTAAAATATCAGCATGGGGGCCCTTTTAGACAGGCAATGCCTTTCAATGCCTTTCTTGGCAGTCAAAATAGTAATTTCAGGTTTGTCTAAAAAATATTTGACCAGTGTTTGTCATTTGGAATCTGGCAGTGTTGGTCCCTGTTGTACCCCCCTTCTCCTAGCGAGGAGGGCAGAGTTTATCCCGCCCGCACAACCTGGGTGCTCTGTGCTGGACCGTCAGACCCAGCCCTGGGTCACTCTGCTGTCCAGTGCTCTGACATTTGTGGGGGAGTCTTTCCTCCACCCAGCGAAGTCCCTCTCAAGCGAGGCTCTTACGCTGCACCGTCGTGTCAGAGCATCGAGAGCCATTTCGGTCCTTGAGGTGCAATGTATTTATGCCCCTTATCAGCAGCAGGCAGCGATCCCGAACGGGAGTCCGAGCGCTCCTTTCCACTCTGTTTTTGGCTCAGCTGGCTAATGGACTTTTTGCCTTGGGGATACGTAGCTACAGACTCACGGACTTTATAGAACAGTGACGTGCTGGAGCCAGGGATGCTGCAGGGAGGGGCCTGGGCACCTTTTTTAAAGTCCTCTTGCAGAAAAGCAACCAGGCAAAGAGGCAACTCACAGCGCCACGACCGCCCCTCCCGCTCTGCAGGGAAATACCCGCCCTCGCCTAAGCCCCGGTGCAGGCAGACTCATATGGATTTTCAGACGTGGCTAAGAATTTCGGGCGCCGCCCTGAGACACGTCCGAGGGGCCTGGGTTTTCAGTGAGCAGTAGCTCACGCCGCACTCCCCACAGGAAGCCCCCCAAATCTGTAGTCACGTTTTGAAAAAGCCCATCTCCCATTCGCACAGCATCAATACGTCACGAGGGAAGCATGGCTCACCACAGCCTGCACGTTCCGATGGGTACTAAGGACGCCCTTGGGTCTCCCTGTAGTCCCACTGGTGTAGATGATCATGGCGCCTCTGTCTTTCCACTCTGGACAGTCTGTAGCAGAGGGGAGCTCTTCTTCGCTCTGGTCATGAGCACCCGCAGCGTTAAGTGGCAGAACGGGGATCCCCAGTTTCTCCGCACTCGGGGTTATGCACCTCACATACTCTTCCGCTGCAATGACCAGGCTACTCTGGGAGTCTTGGATGAAATAGTCCAGTTCCTGCACAGGGTGCTTTCTGTACAGTGGAACAGCTATGCCGCCGCTCATCCAGGAAGCCCACTGGGCAATCACATAGGAGGCATCATTGGGGCACAAAAATGAGATCCGTGCCTCCTGTAGGTCTCCACTGGCGCACCCGAGCACCTCACAGACCTGCCGCGACACACGGGCGCTTTGAGCGTAGAGGTCCCTGTAGGTGTGCGCCCCATTCCGATCCACGATGGCGATTTTATCCCCAAAAGCCAAAGCTCTGGTGAAGACGGAGGTACCCCTACCGCGGGACGGCGTGCCTGTGGCGGGCACGCCTTCTCTGAGACGGCCTCCCTCCCTCCGACCGCAGGCAGGCCACCTCCAGCGGCAGAGCCCACGGACAAGACATTGGGTGGAACATCCCGGAGACCAACCTTCTGCCGGCGCGTCACAAGAGACACCACGCTGCCGAGAGAAAGGAGACGAGCCAATGAGCAGGGAGGGGGAATATCAAGGGAGTCGCACAGAGGGCGAGGAGGTAGCTTGCATTCCAAGCCTGCTTAGGCGCTAGGCCCCTGGCAATCTCTCACAGCACGCATGCATGTTAAAAAAGCATTTCCCGTCCCCGAGGGAATCTAGCGCAGCGCTGAGAGCCGGCCACGGGCGCCGGCCTGGAGCAACTCCACACTTCCAGTGACAAAAAGAAGCACAGGAGGCCGGTCTACCCTCCAGACCCGACTGGTCATCATGGATACTGTGTCAGGACCAAGGCTCTGCCGGGCCTCATGACAACATCAACACAGTGGTGACCGCAGCACAGGCAGCCAAGCAAGCAACCCCCCCCGCCCCCCCAAACACACACACTTTCTGATATGTGGGATTTGTTACAACGTTTCCAAATAAATCATGGAATCCTAGAGTCCAGGGCTGGAACAGACCTCAGGAGTCATGGAGCCCAGCCCCCTGCCCAAAGCAGGACCAACCCAACTCCAGCAGCCCAGCCAGGGCGTGGTCCAGCTGGGACTTAAAACCGCTAGGGATGGAGATTCCACCCCACAGGAATGCTGCACTCAGCGGTGGGCGTTCCTTGATACGGCCAATGGCCATTTGACATTCTGGGACTTCTGAAAATCACAATCTATTCCGGATTGGTCTTCCTGGTCCAGTATTGTTGGGCCCTGACCAGTCCCGAGCAAGAGAATTTGCCAGACCAAGAGAGGTCTCCTGCCACTGGCCCCCCAAGCTTATCACCTGCTGCCGGCAGGCTGCCCCAGCAGGCAACCCTGCCTTGCCCTTCTCCTCCCACCTTCCCCACCTGGCCGGGCTGCTTGCCCAGCTACTACTGGCTCCCTGGGCAGCACAGGCTCCAGCTGGGGCTCCAGTCCCATGCAGCAGGCAGCAGCCGTGGGGCTGGGGCTCTGGCCCAGGGGAAGCCACAGGGCTCCTCCCTCAGCCCCGCCCTCCCAGGGACTGCTGGAGGCTGCCGACCCTGATGCACAGCTGGTTGGCCCTCCTGCCCTTAGGCTTCCAGGCTCTCTGGTCCAGGAGCATCCATAGAGAGTGCCAGATGCTGCAGGTAAAACCTGTACTGCAACAGCTAACAAGACACAGCCGCCCCCCAGGGGGCCTAGCAGAAACAGTGAACAGCCAGAGAATGTGTTTGGCACCTGTCAATCTAACAGACAAATGATTTGCAACTTAACTGAGCTTTGACCCAGCTCACATGCCCCTGCTGCTAACACCTGCTGTCAGCAATGGATTTTTACTTATGTTTTGCATAGGAAAGTGGGCTGCTCGGTCTGACTCTCATCCGTGCGAATGAAATTCCCCAAACCAGAAATGTGTCTGCATGTGTTTTGTGTGTGGAACAACCTCAACGTCTACTTCCGCAGAGAGGCCTGTGACTTAGGGCAGAAGCACCTGGGAGCGGGCTATACACTAAGTGTGGTGACCGCGCGCACATGACACGCCAATGGAATGGAAAAAACAAAACAGGCGACATAAGCACAACCTCTTTCCATTTCTCACGTTCCTCTTTACCGAGGAATTTAAAAAAAGAAAGAGAAGACAACGCAGACTGTTAGCAAAACCAGAATCACCTCTGTGAACTAGGGGCCCCCAGGCCAGATCGCTGGTGAGAGCACACACGAAATGTTACAGGGTGTTAATTGGAACCAAATGCATTGCCAGTGTCTCACAGAGAAGGAGAGAGTTCCAGGCCGGGCAGGTTAAGTACGGATGACTTGGTTTCCCTGCAAAGTGCAAAAAGCCAGGTGTTAGCTGCTAGTCTCTGCAGCTTCCGAGACTTGTCTTCCCCTCTTTTCACCACTGCGCCAGTCCAGATTTAATGGATTAAGCCACAGCAGATTTAACTTGTCCTGCGCATTTACGGACTTCACAGAACTTGTGTTAACTGTGTAGTATTACACAAGTGCTGGATGGCACTCGTTTTCCACTGGCCAGGGCACATTCCTTTCTTTTGCCAGGTTTTCAGGGAGCTAGACGAGTAACCCAAATCAAACGTGACTAAAAGGCGGGAGAGGTGGGGGAATAATTTTTTAGGGGGGGGGGCACTTCAAAAATATTCAAAATAGTCGCAGGCTGCCCGGGAAGGGGTGGGGCCTTGGGCAGAAGGGGCGGGGCTTTTAAATAGCAGGAGGGGGAAGAGCCCCCGCCTCCCTTGCGGCTCCCAGGCAATGCGCTAGGGGGCAGGGCCAGGAGCTCCCGGGCCAGATGGATGAAGGAGCTTGGTGGGCCTGATTCTGTCCCCAGCCCTGCTAAGAGTAAGCAGCTGAGTGAGACGGGGACTGCAGGAGCAACACAGCAAGCCAATGGCCTAGGTTTGTGTGTTCGGAAAAAGGTTTAAACCCTTCTCCACTGTGGCTAAGGAACAAGTGAAAGCAGGGTGGGGATCTCAGCCCCGCAATGAATGGCGGAGCAGAGAGCGACAGTAATGGGCTGCTGTGGGGTCCAAAGTCGATACACAATGCAGCACCAGTGCAGCTGAAGATAGGGAGGGGAACCCCCCCCCGCATCCTTCCCCCGGATCAGCTGGGACTGGCCAGAGCAGCAGGAACAATACAAATAAACTGAAATAGAAGGAGTTGACATTCTCCCTTCATCCCAGACCAACTCTTGTTTGCAAACTTTTGGTCTCATGACCCAGGTGAAGAAAACTGCAGATGCCTGCAACCCAACATAATTATATCCTTTGCCTAGAGTCCCCCCCCCGCATCCTTCCCCCGGATCAGCTGGGACTGGCCAGAGCAGCAGGAACAATACAAATAAACTGAAATAGAAGGAGTTGACATTCTCCCTTCATCCCAGACCAACTCTTGTTTGCAAACTTTTGGTCTCATGACCCAGGTGAAGAAAACTGCAGATGCCTGCAACCCAACATAATTATATCCTTTGCCTAGAGTGCACGCTCTGGGATGGGGTTAGGGAGGAGGGGTTTGGGGTGCGTGG